GCAATGAAAGTGTCCTCTGTCTCCCCGGAGCGATGGGACACCATGACGCTCCAGCCATTGGACTGAGCCAGCTTACAAGCCTGCAGAGACTCGGTCACAGAGCCAATATGGTTGACTTTGAGCAGGAAGCCGTTGCTGGACTTCTCACTGACAGCCTTGGCAACCCTCTTAGGGTTGGTTACTGTGAGATCATCCCCAACCACCTGGATGCCAGCACTAGCTGTGAAATTCTTCCAGGCCTCCCAGTCGTCCTGGTCAAAGGGGTCCTCGATGGACACCACTGGATACTCCCGGATGAAGGACTTATACAGGTCAGCCAGCAGGTCAGGTGTGATGTACTGCTGGGGTCATCAGGCGACTTGAAGTCCAGGTCATACTTGCCAGACCTGAAGAACTCAGAGGCAGCCACGTCCATGCCGATGACTACCTGGTCCTTGTAGCCAGCCTTCCCGATTGCGTTTTTCAGCAGCTCCAGAGCTTCTTCGTTCTCCAGGATGTTGAGCGCGAACCCCCCCTCATCACCCACATTGGTGGCATCCTTCCCGTATTTCTCCTTGATGACATTCTTCAGGTTGTGGTAAACCTCTGCCCCAATGCACATGGCTTCCCGGAAGCTTGACGCCCCCACGGGAAGGATCATGAACTCCTGCATGGCCAGCTTGTTGCCAGTGTGGGAACCACCATTGATCACGTTGAAAGCGGGATTGGGCAGAATGACTTCAGGGTTGCCAGCCAAGTCAGCAATGTGACGGTACAGGGGTACCCCCTTTTCTGTGGCACCAGCTTTGCAGACAGCCAGGGACACTCCCAAGACGGCATTTTCCCTGAATTTAGATTTATTCTCAGTGCTGTCCATCTCAGACATCAGCTTGTCGATCTTCTCTTGCTCCACAAAGTTCAGTTTCTTGCTAAGCAGAGGAGGTGCGATAGTTTTATTGCTGTGCTCAAAAGCCTTTGAGACACCCTTCCCATGTAGCGAGTCTTATCATTGTTGCGGAGTTCTAGGGCCTCGTAGATGCCAGTGGAGGCACTACTGGGCACAGCCGCTCGGAAGAGATCTTTTGAGGTGTAGAGATCAACTTCAACAGTGGGGTTCCCACGGGAATCAAAGATCTCTTGGGCGTGGACCTTGAGAATAGACATTTTCTGACAGTCGGTGGGCGAGCAGGAAAAGAGACGACTGTGTTTTCAATGTCTTAACTTTGACAAGGGTGAGTAAAATTTAGAAAACACCTGTGTTATGTGGACAGGAACATATAACATATAGACAGGAGGTCTGCAAAGTGGATTCTTCAACTGGAATAAGTTTAATACGAAAGAAAAAAAAACACAACTCATACCTCAAGGGACTAAGAAGTAGTTTATTCTAGAGCCACATATGAGTGACCATGGCCCAGGAACACAGATTTAGGTTACCCCAAATTCCTGTGTTCCAATGTGGAGGTTGTTTCATGGAAATTTTGTGGTAACGGAACCAGAATAGAACGGTCAAGGCACTTTAAAAATATATTGGTGGAAACATTAAAGAGGCAGGTTACAGCCAGGCAGGTAGGCCCTGATTGGTCTTTGATTTGATTGCAGAACAGGGTTCTCTCTCTCTCTCTCTCTCTCTCTCTCTCTCTCTCTCTCTCT